CCATCATCATCACCGTCACCATCCCCACCATCATCACCACCACCATCATCACCCTCATCACCACCATCATCATCACCTTCATCACCACCATCATCACCATCATCATCATCACCCTCATCACCACCATCATCATCACCTTCATCATCACCATCATCTCCATCATCATCACCACCATCACCATCACCATCGTAATTCCCCCTCTAGTATTACAACCATTAATTCATTCAATAAAAATGTATTAATCACCTACAACTTTCCCAGCCCTGTTCCAGGTACTTGGATACACTCAGTCCCATTGGCATCCCTCTTGTCCCTGTCACCGTTTTCTGTCTCCATTGCTGGATAGCAGTGTGGCTGGGGGAGGCCTTGGACGTGCTCTTACAGCCTCTGGAGCCCTCGGCAACCTCTGGCAGCTGTAGGGCCAGCATTTGAGTCCGTAAGGGGTTTTGGGGGAGACTCAAAAGGGAGAAGGACAAGTTCTTTCTCTTATCATTCCACCCCTTTGCTCCCGTGCGGAGTCCACTGTGTGCTCCAGGACCCCACATGCTCCAACGCAGACCAGGCGTTAAGGCTGGAACCCGTCTGTGTGTGTCAGAGTCGTTTGAGCAGCTTGTTACAGTGTTTCATTCCAGGCTCCATCCCCTGAGGTGACTCAGCGGGTCTCGGTTGGGGTCCAGGAGCCTACCATTTAACCAGCCTCCCGGGGACATGGATGTTGAGGGACTCAGGGATGGTGCCCCTCCATGGGGGCCAAAGAGATGAACCCCCCGCCCATTGCTGCCAGGGCCAGCCAGGGCGGCCAGACGAAGCCCTCTGCTCCCTTCCTCTGCAGGCACACCAAGATGAAGACAGCCACCAACATCTACATCTTTAACCTGGCCCTGGCAGACACCCTGGTCTTGCTGACACTGCCTTTCCAGGGCGCAGATATCCTCCTGGGCTTCTGGCCATTTGGGAACGCCCTGTGCAAGACGGTCATCGCCATCGACTACTACAACATGTTCACCAGCACCTTCACCCTGACCGCCATGAGCGTGGACCGCTACGTAGCCATCTGCCACCCCATCCGTGCCCTGGACGTCCGAACGTCCAGCAAGGCCCAGGCTGTGAACGTGGCCATCTGGGCCCTGGCCTCCGTGGTTGGTGTTCCCGTTGCCATCATGGGCTCGGCACAGGTCGAGGATGAAGGTTGGTGGGCAGCTCCTCCTCCCCGCGCCAGGCTCCCTGTGCTTCCGGGGGCTCCTCTGAGCCACCCACCCTCCCTGTCTCCTGGGGCCCGCTCTGACCCCGCTTCTCTTCTTGCAGAGATCGAGTGCCTGGTGGAGATCCCCACCCCACAGGACTACTGGGGCCCCGTGTTTGCCGTCTGCATCTTCCTCTTCTCCTTCATCATCCCTGTGCTCATCATCTCTGTCTGCTACAGCCTCATGATCCGGCGGCTCCGTGGTGTGCGCCTGCTCTCGGGCTCCCGGGAGAAGGACCGGAACCTGCGGCGCATCACCCGGCTGGTGCTGGTGGTGGTGGCCGTGTTCGTGGGCTGCTGGACGCCCGTGCAGGTCTTCGTGCTGGTCCAGGGGCTGGGTGTTCAGCCGGGCAGCGAGACCGCCGTGGCCATTCTGCGTTTCTGCACGGCCCTGGGCTACGTCAACAGCTGCCTCAACCCCGTCCTCTACGCCTTCCTGGACGAGAACTTCAAGGCCTGCTTCCGAAAGTTCTGCTGCGCATCTGCCCTGCGGCGGGAAACGCAGGTGTCTGACCGCGTGCGCAGCATTGCCAAGGATGTGGCCCTGGCCTGCAAGACCTCCGAGACCGTGCCGCGGCCCGCATGACTAGGCGTGGACCTGCCCATGGTGCCTGTCAGCCCACAGAGCCCGTCTACGCCCAACACGGAGCTCACACAGGTCACCGCCCTCTAGGCTGACGCAGCCTGAGCCCTGGGCACCCAGAGCCTCGAATGGGCTTTCCCTCTGGCCCAGGGACACGCGGTCCCAGAGGAGGACCTAGTGACATCATGGGACAGGTCGCAGCATTAGGGCTGCCTCCGTGGCCCCAGTCACATTCAAGCCGCCCTCCCGGCGCAGGGCTTGGGGGACACGAGGACTCCGCCTGGAAGCATCCATCGCCCTGGTGGACGCGCCCGATCGGAGCCCACGCAGCTGCTTCCACAGTCCAGTGACTCTCTCTGGCCCATCCCCTTGCGGAGTCTGTGGACCCCACGTCCTCTGGACGGGCCACCACAGGTGTGACAGCAGTTGCGTGGTCGTGTGCACCCACGTGCCGGGTGCTGTGTGCGTGGCAGGGCTCCGGCTGCCTTCAGCCCCATGGCATCTGCTCAGGGCAGCCGACAGGCTTGGCACCGGCTGGGAGCGCAGTGGGCGGCATTTCTTTGGGGTGGGACTTGCCCTGAGGTTGGAGCTACCGCCTGCCTGCTCTGACCCCACCTGTGCAGCCGGGCTGCCTGCAGAGGGGGTGTCCGGGTGGCTGTCAGCCCCCGGCTGGAGGCCCTGAGTGGGTCCGGGGCAGCTGCTTTCCTGAACGTTCTCCCTGTGCTGCGCCGGGCCGTGGGTGTGTACTTGCCTGCGTCTCAGCACTGCTGCGCCTGACTGCTCGTGCCCGGCCGCGGCCTGGCTCTGGGCCTGATGCCCACTTCCCTGCAGGACGCCAGCGGGAGGCCCTGGCCCTTTCCGGAAATGTGACGAGCTATCACGCCATGGACGGTCTAGTGAACTCTGCTTCTCCGTGGCAGGAAGTGGCCCAGGAGGAAGGCGCTGCTCCCTCGTTCACGAGGCAGACGCTCTGCGTTCCCAGTCTTGGCTGCTCTGTTTGGGGCCAGGCAGGGAACGTTCTCTGGGGATCCCCACGTCTTCCGAGGACTCCCCTCACAGCCTCTCCTTTGCTTGAAATCAGAGATCAGTGGGTGTGCGGGAGGAGATCCCGGCGGTCTTGGCGAGTGGCAGCCGGGACGTGCTCCGCTCAACCCAGTGACCGTTGCAAGCCTCAGGGAGTCTCTGGGTAAGGCCTGAGCTTGCCACCAAGTCAGAGGATGGCTTCGCGTGCAGAGCCCGGGCGAGGGACGGGCCTGCAGGTCTTGCTTGAGCCAAGCTGCAAGGACCGCGGGGCTACAGGAACACTGTGGCGCTGTCTCTGCACCTTGCAATGCCCAGGGACTCGCCCTGCCTGCTCTATAGATGGCAGCTGCAGGTTGCTGTCTCTTCCTGCAGATGAACTCTTGAAATACCTGCAACATTGAAAAGACTGTTTTTGTTTTTTTTTTTTTTTAACCGAGACCTTGGCCAGGTGACCTCAGGCACCTGCAGAAAACAGGAAGTGCTGGCTGTCTCAGCCGAAGGGCCTGGGCTGCCTCCTGCCTCAGAGAGCTGTGGTCATGGGGATTGTTCCTGGGGAGGCCGGGCTCTCTCCCGATGCCTGTGGTAGGAGGCTCTGAGGGCAGGAGCTGGCTGCACTGTTTTCTTGCCAAGGCTAAAAGTTCGTGAATTTGTGCTGGTGTAACATGCATCTTCGTGTATTTATGCATGCAACAGGTCTCGTCTCCCATGCACGTGGCCAACCCTGGACCTGTCTCTGCAGTAGTGACGGGCAGCCCTGACAAACTCCTGCTCATCCACCTGGGCTCTCCTTACCGCATGAGCTTCTGAGTCCTGCCGCCAGAGGACCGGCTGTTAGCCTCTGGGTGGGAGGGGCTGTGGGATCTGGGTCAAGGATCCTCCCACCTGCTCCGGGCTCTCAACAGGCTGGGGCTCTGCCTTAGTGGGGGTCACCCAGGAGGCACAGCCCTGGGAGAGGTGAACGAGTTCACGGTGTGTTGGCAGGGGCTGCTACCTTTTCTTCAGCACAAATAGTTTCTCCTTCAACAACCAACTACTGCACCTCTCTCCTGCCCCCTGGGGAGAGAGGGTCCTGTGGACCGGTGGGTAGATGCCTCTCCCACCTGGGTGGCAGGGTTTTCTCCATTTCCTCTCAGCCCAAGCCTGCTCCTGCCCACGTCCCTTCCTTGAGCAGCTCTGAGGACTATCTTGGTGGAAGATGAACAGGTGGCTCCTTGGAGGCTGAGCAGCCTCTGCTGGGCTCGGCCCTGGCTCCATCTGGGCCCAGCTCTGCCCGGGTTGTCGGAGGGGCTCAGGGGATGGCGTGGCAGTGCTCGGGTCCAAGTGCTTGTCTCCAGGGCTGGTTTTGTGCGAGTTTTAGGGATGGGCACTGTCTCATCCCAGCTGCCGTAACCAGATACCATAGACCAGGCGGCTCATAAACAACAGACATTTATTCCCTCAGTTCTGGAGGCTGGAAGCCCCCATCAGGGTGCCCGTGGGGTCAGCTTCTAGCAAGGGCTGCTCCAGCTTGCAGAGGGCTGTCTTGTCACCGTGTCAGTTCCGGAGTGTCCCCGATCCCACGCAGGAGGCTCCACCCTCGACCTAATCACCCCAAGGCCCCACTCCTGACCCCTCACATCAGGGGGTTAGGGTTTCAACACATAGATTTGGGGGGACAGAGATAGTCTGTAACAGACACGTTGCTGTTAAAACAAAAATTTAGCATCAAGGAACAATTTGGGAGGGTAGAGAGGCCCCACGGGGCCGTACAGTGCCCGTGGCCCAGGGGACGCCGTGGTCCTGGCCAAGGAGGCCCCAGTGTGGGGTCCTGGGCTGCCAACCGTCCTCTGCAGCGGGGGGTCCGGGGCCAACACCACAGCTGGCGTCTGCCCGGAGCCTGGTCCGGCTTGGCGAGGGGCCGCAGGAGGGGTGGGGGGTCTCTAGGACTGTGCCCCCTCTTCCTCCCCTGCACCCCCTCCCCTGCTGCTGGGCGTGGTCAAGTCCTCTGGCTTCTCTGAGACTTGTTTCCTCCTCTGTACAAGGGGGACTGCAGAGTCTTCCTTGTGGGGTTGTGGGGGAAGGCTGGGGGGTCCCGAGGGCTCAGGCGTCCCACCCCACCTCAGGAAAGCCTGGGGTCACCAGTTGCTTTGGACTCTGCCCACCAGGGGGCATGGTGGCCCCATGCAGGCCCAGCTGAGGGTCCCAGAGGGGATGGCAGTGAGGTTTGGGGTCTGGAAGCCGGGACCACCAGGCTCTCCCAGAGCTGGGAGCAGGGCAGGGTGAGCCCCTCAGTGTGGGCCCCTGCCCTGTGCCCCACCAGTGTCAGGAAGCCCTTGGTGCAGGGCACAGACGCTGGCGAGAGCTTGCCTCTCCCCTCCCCTTGGCTAGTTGTGGCTCCCTAGTCCTTGGGTCTTGCTGGGCCCTCTCCGACCTTGGCTGGGGATGGCCCTCAGACCACTTGGCTGTGCCTGGTCTGCCTTAGTCCCCAGGGGAAGACACTGGGCTCCCTTGCTGGGCTGTGGGTGGGACGGGTCTGATTCTCAGAGGAAGCTTGTGGGGCACCTTCCCTGCTGTGGAGATGGGGGCGGGCAGGGGGCTGCCCTGGGGGCCGGCTGAGGCCGCTTGCCTGGCCTGGTGCCCCTCCCTGCCCCTCGAGCCTCCCTCCCCACACCTCCTTGCTGTCTGCTCCTCTCACGCGGCCCCCTCATCGTTCCCACCTCCTTGCTCCTCACACCTCGCTCTGGCACCCGCGGTTCTTGGCTGGGCGTCCGGGAAGCACAGGCAGAGTCTCAGCTGTCTCCTCAAGGAGCTCGCAGGGATGCGAACAGCGGCAGGGACGTGGTAATTAGGCTGTGTTGCTGCCGCTTCTCGAGGTGTGATCGCAGCAGCGAGCGAACAGGCGTTCTCCTGAGGAGCTGGGTGTGGGTGGCGGCTCAGAAAGTGTCCGCGGCCCCTGAGTGTGGCTGGCCTTGGTGACTTGCCCCTAATGCACAGAATGTGGTGGGGGGGACGCGAGTGACCCCCGAGACTCCGTCACCAAAGGCCTTCAGGCTTCCTCCTGGCCCTCTTGGACCTCACGGCCGCCGTGTGTGGGACACTCAGCCCTGCGGAGGGGCCTGTGTGGGGGGCTGAGGCCTCCTGCAAAAATCGTGCCGGGGACGCCTACTTGGAAGCAGCTCCCGCAGTCCCTGCCCAGCCTTTGGGTGACCAGAGTCTTGGCCAATGTCTCAACCGAAATCTCACGGGAGACCCTGAGCCGGAACCACCCACACTAGCCATTGCAAAACCCCCGACCCACAGAAGCTGTGAGATAATAAACGTCGTTTTAAGCTACTTCGTTGTGGAGGAATTTGTTACGCAGCGATAGGTGGCTAATACGATACCGTCGGGGAGGATAACTGGGCAGAGGTGGCATCTGGGCTGTTTGGGGCTGGCTAGAGGACAGCAGGGCAGCGCTGTGGTCGGAGCAGTTCTGGGCTCCGCAGGCAGGGCCCGCGCGGCCTGGAGTGGGTGTGGGGCAGGTGGGCGGTCGCCCCGGGGAGGGCACTCGTGGGGCGGTAATGGCGGGTCCTGCGTGCCAGCTGGATGCACTGGTCGGTGCTCTGGGTCGTGAGGACGGAAACCATCCCGGGCGACTCACCACGCAGCCAGGCTGGAACCCGCCAAGAGCCAGGGGACTGAGGGGTCTGGCCACGGCACACCTGGGTGGTCTTCCAGGACCTGCCTCTGGCCTCTCCCACCGTGGTCTCCGAGCAGCCTGCGCAGCAGAACCCTCCACCCTGGGTTCCAGCTCCCAGCTCCTGCTGGCCCAGTCCAGGCCCCAGGCCACACCAGGGAGGAAGGGGTTCAGGTGCCAGCCTGTCCAAGTGACGGGTGGCCCGTAGCCTGTGGTGGCCCATAGGTCCTGGCAGAAGGGCCCTGTGCCCTGTAGCAGACTATGAGGAGGCCACAGGCCACGGCGTGGGGGCATGAAGGGGCACAGGCCACGGTGTGGACAGGCCTCCTGGGGAAACGTTGCCCTGCTTCCGTGAGGCGGATTTCATGGTTTCGTTTGACGCGTGCGCCCTCAGCCTTTGCGGCAACACCAGCAGCAGTGCCAGCATTGCTGCCTGAGGTGCCCACGCCGTTGTCGCCTGCCGATCCTGACTTGGAGGAGACCGAGGGGCCCTGACTGTGGACCGCAGTGCTCAAGGACAAGATCACGGTCCAGGTTCCCTCCCCCAAGGCCTCTGTCTTCAGGGCTTTCAGGTCCCCAGAGAGGACGTGGAAGGTGTCTGAGGGGCTGTCCACTGTCCGGGGGGCCGTCTGTCTGCCCGTCTCCCCGAGGGCGGGTGGGCCCAGGATGCCTGCTGTGTGGGGACCTTCTGCCAGGACCCGGGTCCCCGCTGCTGCCTCCCCAGGGGCCGTCCAGGGCGCAGAGACGTGGCAGGGACACGCCGTGGCTGTCTTGCAGGTCTGGCCAGTCTCCGGGTCTTTGTCTCTGTGTGGAGGAGACGAGGCGGGGCTGTGAGCAGGCAGGATGCTCCCCGGGGCGGGGTGCTCGGGCCCCTCAGCACCGGAACACGGCGTGGAAATTCTTGCGGAAGCCGTCGTCCAGGAAGGCGTAGAGGAAGGGGTTGAGGCACGAGTTGGCGTAGCTGAGGCTGGTGATGACGTAGGACACGCCGATGACCAGCGAGGTCTGCGGCAGGTCCGTGGTCAGGGCCACGACGGAGGCCAGGTGGAAGGGCGTCCAGCAGAGGAGGCACACGGCCAGCACCACGAGGACCAGGACGGTCACCTTCCGCCGGGCCTTGCTCAGAGCCTTGGCGCCAGAGCGGAGCCTCACAGCCCGCAGCCTGCGCAGCAGGTCGGCGTAGAGCACGCAGACGGTGCACACGGGCACCACGAAGCCCAGGACCAGCGTGTAGACGCGGCTGGCCTGGAACCAGGCCCGCTCGGGCCGGGGGAAGCTCAGCCCACAGCTGGGGACCTGCAGCTCGTTGCTGTAGACGCCAGCGAAGGAGAAGAAGGGCAGCACCAGGACCGTCACGCCCAGCCAGACACACAGGCTGGTGACCTTCGCCCCCCGGTAGGTGCGCCAGGGCGTGCGGCGCGACCGCACGGTGGCCAGCACCACCAGGTAGCGGTCCACGCTCATCACGGCCAGGAAGTAGACGCTGCAGAAGATGTTGTAGTGGTCGGCGGTCAGCACCAGCTTGCAGAGCAGCTCCCCGAAGGGCCAGCGCTGCAGCAGGTGCTCGGCGATGCTGGCCGGCAGCACCAGCGTGAAGAGCCCGTCGGCCACGGCCAGGTTCAGGATGAACACGTTGGTCACCGTCTTCATCTTGGGCGCCCTGAGGATCACAAAAATGACGGCCGTGTTGCTGGTCAGCCCCACGGCGCAGATGGTGGAGTACACCACCGGCAGGACCACGTAGAGGGCAGGCAGCGGCTCCGCGAAGGTGGCGTTGGGCCTGGTGCCGTTGTCCTGAGAGACGTTGGCGCCCGTCTCGGCAGGGAGGAGGGGGCCTGTGCTGTCCAGGGGTTCCGGGCGCCCGGCGGCCTGCATCACGAGCTGGGACGGCTGAGAGTTGTGCCCTGGGCAGGCGGGGGTGCCTCGGAGCCGGGAGTCCGGGCAGGGGCCTCCTTGGCCTGGATTCTGGGGAAGAAACAACCAGAAACTTCGGGGTCTGGCCATGAGAACAGCAGCCACCCCGAGTTCTCTGGCAAAGGTTGTGGCCACGTTGCCGGGTCACACAGGGTCACTCTGTCCAATCTGGTCTTGGGGCCAGAGGGAGCCTGCGGGGGCACCTGGGGGCCTCCTCCACCCTCCTCCTGGGGGGCACTTTTGGCAGATCAGTTCCCTTCCCCAAAGCCCCTCCTGCTGCCCACACTCTCCTGGGAACAGGCGCCTTGAATTGCCCACCTGCGCGGCCCTGGCAGTCCCCAGCACGCAATCCAAATAAAATCAAGGCAGTTCCCTGGCAAACGCACCTCCCCGCTGCGTCTCCAGCCCCTTTGAACCCAAATGCTTTCTTCCTGGTGTCCCAGAGCAGGCGCCCTCCCAGCACCCCCCCCCCATGGGGGTGCAAAGCCTCCCTGCTCCCTGCTCCCTGCTCTCCACTGACCTGTCCGGTGCTTCGTGGCCAGAAGTTGGTGGTCTTCGTGTGCTCTTGGCCGTGGCTAGAGCAGGTGGTGGCAGGGTGAGGGGGGAGGCGTGGCCCTTGCTAACAGACCCCAGCTGGGGTCCCTGTGGCTCTGCCAGCCCGGGGTTGGAGGGAGCTTCCCAGACCTGCCTGGCTGGCTGCGCAGTCCTGCTGGCTCCCCCGTGAGGTTCCCAGCCGGGTGGCAGCGCTGTGCGCACTGAGGGATGGAGGGAGGCGGGTCCCACTTGCTGACGCGGAGCCCCAGGAGGCGGGGGGCGGGGGGGCCCTGGTGCTGCAGTGGCGCCTGCCGTTGGCTGTCCCAGGGTCCCCTCACTCGCCCAGGCGGACTCCCCAGTGGGCTGCTGAGGTGCGTGTCGGGTCTGTGCACGTGTGTGCACGTGTGTCAGGAAGGCATGCCGTGCAGGGGCCCCTGCTTGTGCCCAGGTCTGCAGGTGGAGGGCATTTGCGCCCCTGTCTGTGGGTCACGGTGGACCTGGGCACCCTCATCTGTGTACACGGGAGTCTTGCCGGGTCTCGTGTCTGACCTGTGCGGGTGCGTGGTGAGTGCCTGGGTGTGTGCGTGTGTGCGTGGGCCTGTGTCTGCCTGCACGGAGGTTCCTGCGGGTGAGCTCTGCGCTGGGTCTGACGTGGTCTGTGTGCGTCCTTAGCTGAGTATGGGGTCTGGGGGTCTGTTTGTCCTCAGGTGGAAGCAGAACTTGGCCACAGACAATCTAACTTCTCTTCTGTCTCTTGCTAAGTGAGGAGCACGGACTCCCTGGAAAACTGGGCCAGCGGCAGAGGATGCAGAGAACGGCTGTTTGCACCCACCCTGGCGCCCGCCCTGAGCTGCCGCTGCCACCGGCCACAAGGTGAGTCTGCTTAGGTGGGGAGAGCTGCTCTCCGCTCTGGGCTGGTCTTCACCTCCCCACCGTCTCCTTGCTTTTCTTCCTTGTCTAGACGCACCCCAACTCACGCACCCCCAGCCGTTGCTTCTGGCTGTGCTCTGCGGGCAGCGCTGCCGCTGACGCGGGTGGCCGGCTCGTTCCCAGCGTGGCCGTGCTGGGGGGCGGGTCAGAGGGCCTGTGTGTTCTCAGTCTGCGGAGACGCGGCTGTGCCCACTGCCCGGAGGCTGCAAGGCCACCGCCCCCCACACAAAGGCCGGCCCCTTCCCCAGGCGTCCTCGGGCCTGCGGGTCAGGCGCACGGCGGCGGGGCCCTCGCTCCCCTCCCACTGGCTGGACGCTGAGCCCAGAGGTGGACACGTCAGGCTGGGGGGGGCAGCTTGCTGGGATATCTCCACACCCCACTTTTGTCCACCGTCAGGGCTGGCGTGGGCGCCCCACAGGGAACATGGGGCTTGGGTTGTCACGTAGGAGGGGACAGAAGCCCTCTGAGTCGAGGGAGAGGCTGCACTAGGGCTCAGTTTTGTGATTTGGGGGTGTCTGTGGGGTGGGGCAGAGGTGCCAGTTCAGCTCACTGCTCCTGGATACCAGAGACACGGCAGAGAGAGGGTCAGGCCTGGCGCGTGGCGGCCTCGTCCCCGGGAACGCTGTGGCCCAGGGGTCGGCGGTAGAGGCTGGCCGGTCTCGGCCGGGAAGGAAAGAACCAACAAAACCCTGGCAACGGGCAACCCGCCGCCGGTCCGGGGGGGGGCCGAACAAAACGGGCCCGAACCCGGGCCCCCCTGGGAAAAGGGCCGGGGGGCCCCCCAACGGGCCCCCCGGAAAGAACCCAAGGCCGCCCCCCAACCGGCGGGGGCCGTAACCTGAACAACAGGCCGGGGGCCCCCTCAAAACCCGGCCGCCCCTTGCCCCAACCCCCCAAGAAAACAAAGGCCAACCCAAAACCTCCAGAGCTGCCTGTTCAGGTGGGTCTTTCCTCAGGCCCCAGGAGGGGAGGAGCCCAGCGTCAGAGAACATTCCTCAGAGCAGAGTCTCCGGTGAGGGTTTCTCATGATGCTTCTGGCTTCCCTTGAAGTTATCCATAGTCTGGGGTCCCCCTGACTCCACCAGTGTCTGGCTGAGCCTGGGACCCTGACCCTCCCCACATTTCATCTCTGCTCTCTTGAACCTGTCCCCGGGGCTGGTCTGGCTCCTCACCAGCCTGTGACAGTAGAAGTGGGATAGGGTGTGGGGGATGGGAGTGATGGGGCCCCCGGGTGAGGGGATGGGAGGGGTGAGGACCCTGGTGGGGGCATGGGGACCCTTGCAACAGCTGGGACAAGGAGGCTGAGGGGCACCAGAAGTGGGTGCCATGCTCAGGACCCTGAGGCCGGTTGCAGGGGCCGGGTCATCCTGGCCCCAGGGCAGGGTCTCCAGGTGCCCCCAGCGGTGCCTCACTCAGACCCGGCAGCACAGCCCAGTCTGGGGACGCTGTGTCTGAGCCCCCAGCCCTCAAGGCTCAGAAAGGCGGCTTTGTTCTGCCCCAGGTTGGGCGTCGCTCCAACCAGCCGTGAGCGAGTGAGCATCTTTCTGTGGAAATGATTTCCGTTTTCAGAAATGAATTGGCCTTTTCAAATCACCCTGAGAGGCACTTTTGGGGGTGGAAAGGAGAGGCCAGGCAGGGAGCTGTGCTCAGCTCCGTCTGGTGGCGGGCGGTGGGGCCTGGGCGACCCGCGTGTCTGGGGTGCCGGGTGTGGAGTGATGGGAGGGGTACGCGTCAGCGCGCGTCCGAACACGGCTGCGTGCGGCTGCCTCGGGGGCTCTCGCGGGGACCCAGAGGAGAGGCAGCCCACACGCGTGCGCTGGAGGGGCCAAGCCCAGTGGCTGTGTCCCGAGTGTGAGTGCCAGGACCCCAGACGGCCGGGGCACTCGGCACACCCAGGCGAGCAGAGTTTGTTCTCACTGTCACTTTGTGGAGGGTGCGGCAGCCGCCCTCCACCTCTCCCGCAGCGCTGCCTGCGACTCAGGTCTCCACACACGCGTGCACAGACGTGCACCCGCACACGCAGCAGACGCACAGACACAGGCACTGATGGACACACGTGAAAACACTTGGGTGCCTGTTGCCCACTTAAGCTCTGGCAGGTGGGTGGGCTCTGCCCGCACGCGGAGTCCAGGCCTGTCTGCCCTGCTTCCTGCCTCCCGCCAGCTCCTGAGGACAGGCCACTAAGGCCAGCAAGAGGCCCGGCCCCAGAGGCCTCTAGGTAGGTAACTGGGCAGCTTCGCTCTTCAGAAAAGTGACAGCGATTCCGGGCCGGTCTCCCTGGGATTCGAGGTGAATTCTCAGGGGAGCAGAGAGAACACAACGTATTGGTAAAACTGGGAGGGACATTTCTCACCCTGAGATGCAGGACACCCACCATGCCCCTGGGCATCTGCCGCCTCTCTCCTCCGAAGGTCAGCACGGAGACATCCCCAGGGGGATGCCACAGCTCAGGGGTTCTGTCTCCCTGACCCTCCTCTGCAGACGGGTCCACAGGCACTGGCTGTGGGAGGGAGGCCCTGGGCTCGGGCAGGTGAGAGGGTTTCCCGCAGGGGCTTCTCAGCCACCTCCCAAATACCCTGCCCTTAGCCCCTGAGTCATTCACTGACTTCACCAATATTTGCCCAGGAATGTAGCAGTGAACAAAAGGAAAAAAAACTCCTGCTCTCCCTGGGCTGAGCCTTCAGTGGGGGAGGCAGACAGGTAACCAGTGTGAGTGTGTGCAGAGGGAGGGGCTCTGGGAGAAACAGCCGGGAGGCTGGTAGGGGAGGCCAGGCAACTGGGGGAGGCCAGGGCCTCGGGGAAGGGAGGGCCTAGGGCCAGGTCCTCAGGCCCGAGGTGGTGGGGGAAGGGGGCTGAGCACGCTAGAGCAGAAGCCATTGCAGGGGCCCCGCCCTGGGCAGTTGTGGGGGGCAGGGAGGTCAGAGGTCGGGACGGTGTGCCAAGTCCTGTGGGCAGTACCCTGAGCAAGGCCTGCGGGAGGCGGGGCTGGCAGAGCAGCTGGGGCACGGAGCCTCCCTTTCTGCTCTAACGCTGTGCCTGCCCTGCCCATGTGCCCCACCCTGCGTGGCGCGTGTGGGCGGCAGGTCCCGGCTCAGGGAGCCTGCAAAGCTTCCATCGTGAC